TCGTTTTTAGATATACCACATTTGGGTTTGAACAGGTGTTTCTCTTGTTTTATTTTTTTGGGGAGGAGGGAGGGGGGTGTGGGTCTGTGGCGGGTTTTTCAGAAAGGGGCTCTTTAGACCCTTTTGGTTCAGAGTAGATGGAGGAACTACATGCGGGAGGTGAACACGCGAGCTTCCATCAACCAAGGTCACCCAAGAAATAAATATATGGCCAAGTTGGAAATTAATTCATCGCTAGACGCTCAGTCACATATTTATTTACCAAAATAAAATAAAATAAAATAAAATAAAATAACAATAATAATCAAATCGCTCACAATCACCTGGGTGGGGTTTGGAAATTAGAGTTTCTCACCCATCATTTTGGACACAGTCCCTGTATATTTTCTCCCATGCCTCTATCCCACATAACACTCCTGCGTAAAATAAATCAAGAAATAGGAGAAGAAGCGAAAGTAACAGCACCCAAAAGAAAGAGGGGGGAGAACAAAGCACCAGGAGAAGAGTTTTCTCCAGCCTAATCTTAGAACTGACTGAATTCGCCTGTACGTTTGGTTTCTTCCTCCTTTTCGCAAACATTTTGGCCCCACCCCCGTTCCGCTGAGAACGTCCCCTTTTCACGATATGTTTCTAATCTCACCGATGTTAGTTATTTCCTTTCTCTCTGTTTTCTTGCCCATTCTTCTTCCTCGGGCCCATCCAATGTAACAGCGCGAAGGGGGGAATTTGGTGAAACTCAAGCTCGCACCCAAGAGGCTAGGCAGAGTTAAGCTATATATTTAGTCACTAGATTTCTTTTTTGGAAATCGGTATTCTCTAGGTGCCTGTCTTTCTGTCTGTGGGCCTTGCAGTGAGATATCCACTGAATCTCTGCGTCGCGACGGAGATTACTAGATGGCTGCCTGCTTCCCTGTCTCCCTATGATAGATATCATCGGATATCTATTCATATAGAGACCTCGACATGCCCAACCGCCTCCTGCCTCTCTTAGAAGGACATCCAGTAAATTTGTATCATACCGTGAGCCTTTTGTTCAACTTTCACACTTCGTTATTAACCTTTGTGATGCTTGAAGCACTGAACCTGAACCGTTGTACGAAAAACGGTGAGGGCATGGGGATTGAGCACAGGGATTGACCCACTGGCATCTATGATAGGTCGAGTATTAGAAATATTTTTATATCTGCGGAACATCGAATTGTGATGAACGGGACCTTTCTCATATGTAGGAATTCCGCCATTCTAGACAATTCAAGTACCGAACCGGTGTAGTGAGATATAGGGGATCTTTTTGATCCCACTAATAGTTCTGAGATACATAGCTACCTTGCGTCGTAAACACCATGGACAAGCAAAATATTCACGAGCTGTCTTCTCAACCGATAATGTCTTCAGGTTGTTGTTGACTCTTGAGGTCGTTTTATCAAAGTGCCGTTGGAGCGACGCACTGCCTCCACTCACCGCCTTTTAAATTGCCGGCAGAAAAAGTGTCCTCATTGACCTCCAGCGTCGCAATCGCAATCGGAGGACAGAATATCCATACAACCGCAAGAAATCCAACTGTCGAGACCGTTTCTGCGGCGTTCCCAATTTTCATTTTTCGGCCTGCTGAGTCAAAGCCGCTGAGGACGAGACAGGGCAGCGTATCCCCAACGTACGTGCCATGGCCTTGGCGGAATGCGCACGCTTGCGATCTCTTGCGATACTCGTAACGACATCCTCCTCAGTTTATCAGCTTTGACCTGTAGCCATGTTGCCCGCGGATGGCGGTGGTAGTGACAGGAGTTCTGGACTTTCAATGCAAGGTCAGATCGGTGTTTCCCATTTGGTTGATTGATATGGATGTTCATAAGATACCTCTATCGGAGATGCGGAGAGCTCCCTCAACTGAACAAATTTGCTTCGCCCAGGTCCTTCGTTAGCGAGTATTCCCCTTGAGATCCTCAGATCGGAGCTGGAACGGCGGGGATATGTTGGCATTAGCGGCAGAGCGAATAACAGTACTGCAAATGGAAACACACCAGGCGGTTCAACTTGCGGCAGTGGTGTTAAGACCAGCTCATATAACACCCCGCTGCACGTCGCGGCGTTGATCATCATATTGGTCTTCAGTACTTTAGGTCAGTCTATCACGCTATCGTTACTGAGCTTCCCTCATTCAATTGGCCCCGGAATACTTGCTCACACTGCTTTATATGCAGCATGCTCATTCCCGATTATTGCTCACCGCTTCCCGCGCCTCCCCATCCCGCGGCATTTCCTCTTTTTATCCAGACACTTTGGCACAGGCGTGTTGATTGCTACAGCCTTCGTTCACCTCCTCCCCACAGCCTTCATCTCCCTCACCAACCCATGTTTACCAAGATTCTGGAACAAAGGATACCCAGCAATGGCTGGTCTAGTTGCAATGATTGCTGTCATGATCGTTGTGGCCATCGAGATGTTCTTCGCTTTGAGAGGCGCGAAACATGTACACGGGAGTGAATATGACACCCTAATTGAAGGGACAGGATCACACCACCATGAGACTGCCTCCATGCCACTGGCAAATGGCGATAGTCACGGGGGTATACGTTTAGGGAAATCCCGCGTCACGCATCATTCGCACAAAGATTCTCCCTCCCACACACTCCCTCCATCGCCGCAGGGTTTTGCTCCGGAGGAAGAGAGCAACGCACCAATGCTCCCCAAAACTCCGGGCGGCGAACCACAAGCTGGAGACGACGAGGACCTTGACCTTGAAGAACTAGATCCATTTCCAGACACATCATCCAGCTACGACGAGTCCCGCACCCACCTCAACCCCGGCCACAACCACCTATCACGATCTCGAGCCATGAGCACTCACGCAGCGCAAAAGCAACTCCTGCAATGCCTGCTCCTTGAGGCTGGCATCCTCTTCCACAGCATCTTTATCGGCATGGCCCTCAGCGTGACCACAGGCACCTCCTTTCTCGTCTTCCTCGTCGCCATCACCTTCCACCAAACCTTCGAAGGCTTCGCACTGGGCGGGCGCATCGCGTCTCTAATTCCTTCCTTGTTCCCTGCATCTTCCCCCAAACCATGGCTTATGGCGTTAGCCTACGGTGCCACCACGCCCATCGGACAGGCAATCGGCCTGGGTCTACATAACCTGTACGATCCAGCCAGCACTGCTGGGCTGCTGATGGTAGGGATGACGAATGCGTTCAGTAGTGGGTTGCTGCTGTTTGCGGGGCTGGTGGAGTTGTTGGCAGAGGACCTTTTGAGTGATAGGAGTTATGAGACTTTAAAGGGAAGAAGTCGGATTGAGGCGTGCTTTGCGGCTGCTGGTGGGGCGCTGCTCATGGCTCTTGTTGGGGCCTTTGCTTGAAGGGAGGCACAAAAATAATCCTCCCCCCCCCTCCAGGGCCCCTCTTTCCCGCAAGCCCTCAGGGTTCATGTTTTTGCTTTTACGTTTAATTTTACTTTTTTTTTTGTATACAATTGATTCATTATTTTTTGAATAATGTTCCCGCGTGTGTTTCTGAAATGACATTCGGGGTTTTGGTTTGTGCCTCGCCACAACGATGGCTTGTATATACTCACATCTGCAAGATTTCATTTCGACCCTTATCCCCTCCCTTGTTTCACCCCCCTGTATATTGTCTTTATCATTCGACCCCGTTGCTTCCCGGAACAGCCGCCCTACTCAGCTGGCCGCGGCCAAGCAACGGACAGGGATATCCGAGAGCGAAGAATGATTCAGTCCCTTTTCCCGATAATGAATAGCAAGTGGCGTTTCCTGCGTTGCATTTCCAGCAAGGGGGGGTGGGATATGTATGTGCATGCAAAGAGACCCTGCTTTTTGATCGAGATGCCCCAGCTAAGTAAGTTTATATCAGGAATCTTTTATACCCAGGCAGGGTATTATCAGAGAGGGGGGAAAGGTGGTGATTGCATACAACTCTGACAGCAGAAGAATGTGTTCAGCGGGAGAGAGATTACAGTAAATGGAGTGGTTTTCTTCAACCGGCTCTTTTGGGAAGTCGAATAGATTTTTAGTGTGGCCAGTGGAAATAGAGATATTGATGCATTTCAAACGGTTTATTCCCACGCTAGTCAACCACGTCGAATTTATATTCCAGATCAGGGAAAATCAAATAGGCTTCCAGCCGCCACTGTGACGATGTGTTGTGGTTTACTTTCGCGATGCGGGTTTAAAAAAAAGCCATCATAATACACTGCCTCGCAATAAGTTTGAAACTATTGTGACTTATCATCAAAATCCACTAGTCTAAAAGTAGTTTAATTTGTAGTAATTAGTTATAGTTATAGTGTCACATGATATTCAAATGCATCCATTCACCCTATTTTCCCACTCATCTACACCATTCTCTATTCATTTTTTCTATCTTCTTCCTCACATGTTTTCTTTGTTGAGCGGAAATCTTTGATTTCCAAGTGCACTTCAATTAATTAGAGCTACTTCTGCAATAAACAATGCAACTACTAAACTACTTTTGGACTAGTGGATTTTGATGAGAAGTCACAATAGTTTCAAACTTATTGCGAGGCACTATATATAGGCGTCGATGGGGCATCCGTACGGGGACTGCCTGCAAACATCATTCTGACGCTGCTGCCATCAATTTGGCTGTCATGATCATCCCGGCGTTCCAACATTGATTGATATAATCTGTATATTGACAATACCTGGGCAAGCAGGGGGCGCCTTGTGTGCAAATTAAAACCTCCTTCCGGCGGGGGATTTACCGATGGCTAGCCGATGCAAATTCCGGGTTCTCCAAAATCCTCCCCGGACGGTTCTTCTCTTGGCCGATCGGAATTCGGGGCCACAGGTCCGCATTCCATCTTCTCTGCTGGTGGCCAAGCCCAGATAAACTCCGTTAAAGTCCGCCTATTGATAAGGTTATTTTGTGGGGCCATTCCACAGGCTGGAGACATCCGAGAAATCCATTTCCTTTTTTCGGGCATTCGATGGCCTCCATCAGTGTTCGAAACAAGCGACGTCTTGTCAAGGGCTTAGTGTTAGTGTGGAGGGAGTCGAAATAGCTCGATCCACTCCGAATCCGCTCTGAATCCCCTCTGGATTAAATTAAGCTCCTCAACCCAACAGCCTTCTCGATCCTGGTCCCTTCCATCACTTTTTGCTCGCTGGTGCCATGCTGCATTTCCAGGGCATTGCCAGCCAGACTCACCACTCCAGCCCTACATGGAAATAGCACAAGCCGCCGAGGCCCCAAAAAATATGGGTTTTGCCCCGGTTCACTTTGCTTCCCAGCAGTTGGAGTTGGAGGGGAACTGGCGCTCTCGACGACACAGAATTTGCCCACAGTCCATAGATCTTTCGACGGAGAGTCGCGGGATCCTCCGCGGACACTTCTCCTTGGGGTGGAGGCTTGTCCCTCTAGTTTACTCGACCTATATGAGCACCAACTAAGCCAACTAACTACTGAGATGGGATGATGTAACCAGCGAGGGTCTCCAACACGCACTCTCATACAGCGTAATACCGAGGTCAAGAACTACTAGTAGTATGCCTCAGCCGAGCTGGCTGTCGTCGACACAACTCATGGATTGAATTGCTTTGCCATTTTGAGACGCTAGACACGACTCATCTGCGCCGGTCTGCGGCTGACTCCCAAACCAGTGCCTGGTTTGAGTTTGGCCGCTGCACGAATTTCCCCCCAACGACGGTGGGCATGAAGGGCCGGAAATTTCACTTTTTTTAACCCTAGGCTGAATTTTCCCAGGTTCAAGAACCAAGAGTTCTCCTAGTCCCATGATCGCTCATTTTCAGACGTGCCAGGGACTAGTCAAACAGCTAGAATATTCGACTGTGACCTCGCTCCACCAACCACGCCACGACGTCTGTGAGGTAATGCTACGGTGGTTGGGCCGGGGGCCGGCAAATTCTCTGGTTGAACCCGGCGTCTTTAGCGCCTTTGGGGGAGTGCAGGTCAGAACTTTGTCTTCCTTGTTCATCAGCCGTCCGGCTGGAGCTGAGGTCGCTTGGTCTCTTGTCATCGGCCTCAAAACGGCTTTCATCCTTGGGTTGAAGATATCACTTGGGTTCTTATTAAACGGTAACGTTGGCATGGTAGGAGGACTAAAAACTGGGAGAAACCAACCCTAGCTAGCAATCACCGTCCGACGAAAATCGTCAATCAGAGACCGAATAGAACTGACCTTCTCTCTTCCTCGACGACAACAACAACAACAACAACAACAACAACAACAACAACAACTATGACAGACGTCGCCAAAGACTCCCCGCGGGGCACGGCTTCGACTATCAACAGGAAACCCCATACCAAATCCCGTACCGGCTGTTATAGCTGTAAAGCTCGGAGGGTAAAGGTACGGTGAATATCCATGCGGAGCAGGACGTTCTTTGACTGTTTCTCTCTACATAAAAACAGTGCCCCGAAACACGACCAGTATGCGACAACTGCAGGTTGAGGCAGCTTGACTGCGTTTATCCCTCCCAATTTAAATCACAGTCGCATCAACCCATCCGTCGCTTGCAGCCAAATTATAACAGAAAGATTAACAGCCTTGGTGCCCAATATCCAAAGTCACTGCTGCCTCCTCCACCTTCTATCAAACCGGCTTCCGCGCCTCCGCAGTTTCCCCCTTTCTTCACAATCGACGATATGCGTTTCTTCCACCACTACATGGTTTCGGCCTATCCGTACTTGCCACAGGGCTCTGATGCCATGTGGATTACTGAAATTCCTCTCCTCGCCCACCAGGTAAATATGTATAGTGCATATATATATATAAACGCTGCATGTTACACATAAATGTGTCCCATCTCATCAAACGCTTCATCCATAACGATCCAAGCTGATTTCACTCCCAAAGCACGAATTCCTTATGCACGCCATCCTCTCCCTAGGCGCATCGCACCTCTCGCTCTTGGCCGCCGACGTTTTAGGCCCCGAGGAAATGCGCGGCTACGCGGCCATGCTATCCCACCGTGGCCTGGCCCTCCGTGGTCTCCAGCAATCAATGGATAATCAAGCTCTAGCCGACCCCAGCACCGACCTCACTACCTCGCCCGCCACCCCGAACATCCCAGAACTCAACGCTATGCTTGCAACCTGCTACGCTCTGACCATACAGTCAGGCCACCTGTGCGACGGCTTCACCGATTTCCTCGTTCTAATCCGCGGCTGCGGACGGCTGACAGGCCACATCGCAGCCGTGGGCGGGCTGGACCCCTTCTCCCTCCACTTGATCATGGAGACCCGCTCTGACCTACGCTCGCCCTTGCCCCATCTCGTTGGCGGCATTGATGAACGCGAGTGTTCGGACGACGACAACGACGAAGCCGCCGACATGGGCGTCGACATGGGCGCTGTCAAGCGCGACGCGGATGTGCTCAGGTCATTGATCCCGCTCCTCCACCACGAATCCCACCGGAGCTACCACGCCACCCTCCTCGACGCGGCCGAGGGCCTGCAGAGACGCGCGTGGATCGACGCCTGCAATGCCTTCCAGAAGGCGTATACGGTCCTGTGCAGCATTGACGACGCGAGCTTCCAGAACCATATCATTTCGCCCACGGGCCCCGGGGTGATGGCGGAGATGGAGAAGAATGCGATGTTCTTGGTTATGTTTATCCACTTCACAGCGCTGCAGGTGGTCATGTACCCGATCCTTTGGCGCATGATGCCCGAGCGTGCACGCTTGCCGCAGCTGCTGATGCCACAGACTCGCTGGCTGATTGAAATCAGCGGGCGGATACCGCCGGAACTCCGCGGGTATTTGGCGGTGCCACTGGACATTGTGGTGAAGGTCGGAGAACGCTACGGGGTGTTCAATTCCGTGCTTGGGCAGCGGGTGAAGGAAGGGTTAATTACAAGAACGCAGGAACTGGGGTAGGCTGGCTGGGTGATGTGGAATATTACGCATATACGAACGTAATGGACACATACACACACACACATTATACAAAGTATGAAACTTGGTCGTTGTCGTCTATGCAA